CTTCTACTCATTCATTGCAGATACACCTTGACTTCTATTATTGAACACCTTTACGCTGAAATGAGCAGCATGAGCAAGAATGAGCAGCATCCATGAAAACAACTGGAACATAATGGATGTAGGAAATATTTCTTTAGTGCGCCGACCGCAATCACGGCAGAGGACATTCCGCAACGACTAAATATCGCCGAGACACATTGAAGGCGAGTAACTATCAAAAGATAAGAAAAAAGGAGTAATTAGTGCAAAAAAAGCGGAAGCAAAATGAATTCCCCGCTCGATCTCCTCTTCTGCATAAGGGGGCTCCCCTCCCCTACTCCCAGGGAATCTCCTCTTCGATATTGTCTTTCTGCATACGGGGGTTCGCGTGTGGAAGGGAGGGGAGCCCCAGCGGGGATTATTTCAATGGTTAAACGCACATCCCCTCCCCGCGGAGATGTACGTGCATACAGTCGCTTCATTTCATATGATCATGTGTGCCATTGCACACACAGTCCACTTTGGCGTCCTCATCCTGGATTTGCAATCGCAAAAACGCAAGAGACTTACCGATTGTTATCGATCACATCAATTTGAGGTGACTAGTAACTAAAAAGGAAGGAAAATGCTAAGAACACCTTGAAAACACTTACCTGAAGGCTTGTTTCTCCCACGAATCCAGGATGGGGACGCCAAAGGTGAACTGTGTGTGCAATGCATACATGATCATATGAAATGAAGCGACTGTACGGGCCTTAGCAAGTGACGAATTTTCGAATAATGAGTAAGCAACGAACTAGAGTGAGCAAATATATTCTATTGTGTAAAAAAACTTGAGATTTCTACAACATTTTTAAAAACAAGGGCGATCTGGCTCATTTTATCTATAAATATAAGTTGATGCCAGCTCACACAATGAACACATCACGAAAAACTCAAAGCGATTTCTATCAAAGTACATCGCTAACCTTTGTGTATGCTGTAGGCTAGATGCAATCTAGATGCACAGTATAAAGCAAATCACGGCATTCTTCATTACTGTGGGACTCGGTAAGATTTTTTAGTACATTAAGATCATAGACTTACCCGCTATTTTAAAATGTGTCTATCAAGAAATTTGACAGAATTCTGTGAACATGAATTCAATAAGTAATGTTTCCAAATTTCTTGGAGTTTGTTTAAACTTGTTTCTCTCCAATCTGTACTCTTTCCTGAACGCTATTCTTTTCGATATCCAATTTTTTTCAGAGCTTTTTGTGCTCGATTTGTTTTCGTAATTCACCAAGATTTTTCATTTTTATAGCAAACAGTAAATTCTTATGATGGTACTAAAATCATGCTATGTATGTTTGGCAACTTTTTGCGGCAAAGCCGCGAATCCTGAGGTAATTTCGCACGTCTGCGCATAAAGGTGTAAAGCTGGCTTAGAAGGTACCGAATTATAGACGATGACGTTTACTGTAGACTCCGCAGCAGCGTTTCCACTAGCCCCCCCCCTCTCCCCACGGTGGCTAGTTGCAGTAGCAGGCGGTTGATTCGGTAACACTTACTCGTCTCCCAAAAATTCTCATACTGCCAGACGTAGTGCCCAGGAAATCATTGCACTCCTACTCGCACCGATGTTTTTCACATCAGCCGCTGCCGGAGTGATGTCACTTAGGGAGAAGGAGTAGGATGTCCTTTCGTTATTGCCGTTATAGTGGACATCGGAGGAACTCAAGCTGAAATCGACTGACATGGACAGCTATGTTGGCTTTTTATTTTGTTTTTTACATTGATTGTCCTATTCTGTTCTGCAAGCACATACTCTCGAATGTTACCTATGCCGGTTGTGTCTTCTCATCAACACGTGATAGTTTTGAATAAGAAGGGCTTAGAAAACCATTACACGTTGCAGAGAGGCTCATTTGAGTCAATCTTGTGATACCGATAATTCTGGACCATTTTACTTCGTGTAATCCATCTTGTCTCACCTAACTGCTGTAGTCTTTGGTTGGTTATAGATAACTGCCGTAATCCAGAGAGTGGCCTTCGCTTAGTGATCTATGTTTCATTATAGAATGATGATTATAGAATGATCAAGTACAGACAACTGCATTGATGTAATACCAATCAAAAAATAAGAGATTGGCTAGTCATTGCTGCATGAAAATTGACTAGAAATCCTTTGTTCCCATGGTTCCCACCGTTCGGATTATGTTGCGGGTCTATACCCCAAAATTCTAGGAAAAAGGGGCGCGGCGGTGGCCGCTCTCGAAAAAATTCTTTAAAAGGCTAATTCAAAATTCTAAAACTTTATCTGTTTACAGATAAAAATAAGTCACTAGTAAATTTTGTGACTCATGTAAATAATGTTCAAAATCTCCGCCACTTACTTCATCCTCATGGTCGAAGCGTCAAGCCAAAGACTAGATTGATTACGGGCTAAGGGGGATTATAATAAATTAGATTGGCTAGTGTTGATAACTGCGCACAATTTAATGATATCATAGTGCACATTTTATTGAAAACGAGATTAGCGGATAGCTAAACTTTCGTGCATATTCTTCTTCCTCATTCACATCAAACGAACTAAGTTCTGAATTTTTTTCTCGCATTTCCAGTTGCATTTATTACAAGGTGTAAATGAAACTGGGTAAACTTTTCTGCGTTTTTGAATGGAAATAGCAGGCAAGTGCGCGCAAGCAGAAGAAAAAGTATGTTTCCAAACTGGAAACAAAGGTGAAGGCACAACTTCAAATTGTATTGCGTGAAGTGGGAAACACTTTGCTCTGGAAGTAATAGCCTGTATTCAAGTGGAATGATCATCCACTAAAACAGGCATTTCACGTGCCCGCCTGACATGAATCAGTACTGGGGTTGGGCACAATATCGATAAATCGGAAGTTTGCGATAGATGAAAATTCGCAGTGATGCATGGCATTCTCACACCTTTGGTTTCCGATGTTTGGAATGCATTTGTTGTGGCAAAACCAATTTTTGAATTGCAGAGAATCTGTTACGATGCATTAAAAGTATGATTAATAATCAGAGTTGTTAAATAGTTACGATAACTGAAAATAACGGGCATTAGTAGGAATTTCATTTCTTTTACACTCTTTTGAATTCCTTGGGAGAACTTCAAAAATGCGGCAAAAGTCATGCTTGAGGAGCATGAGGAAGACTGAAACAATCTACACTAACATTATTTTCACCTTCACAAACAAGAACAGCAATATAAGGCCACTTTGGTGAAAGTACTACAACCTCCTCTTTGTCTTTTGAAATATCTCTCGTTCTTCCTTTTTATCTTTTTACAATTTTTCTTAATATCTTGGAGCATCAGTGCTGACAGGAGGTTATAGTGCTTATAGAATTGCCCCTATATGCTGTAAGTATTACAACACGGAGTTGCTAGCTCTTCAGTAATGCAATAGAAATTGCCAAAAATAATTTGATGAAATTTACTGAAGTTTCAAAATATAATTTTTCGCGTATGGCAGTATAATCTCCTGTTAGCACTGATACTCCAAGATACCGAGAAAAATTGTAAAAGGACAAAAAAGAAGAATGATAGAAATTCGCAAAGACAAATAGGAAGTTTTCTGACCTTCACCAAAATGTCCTCGTAAGAAGTATGTGCAATTTGAAAGTGGGGAAGTTTTTCAAAAAGTTATAAAAATCTTTCACTAAGTGTAACGAAGCTCATGCTCCGACCTGCTCTTTGACTATACACATTAGCATTTTTGTGGTGGAACATACTTAAGTGTGTCTCGTTTCACCTCTAAACGCTAAAAAAAATGTCTAGATGTGTGAATGGCTCCCAGTGAGAGTATAACACAGCATAGATATCGAGTTTCACATTCCAAATTGATAATATCGTTTATATTTCACAGTGTTTCGTGCACCTCTGCAGACCAGCGGCCAAGTTTGCGCCGATTTAGGTAACTTGTTTACCATCTTGTTTGCTTGCTGCATAATTCTCACGTGCCATGATGCGCTTTCTCACGCGCCTCAGCTCCGCCCCCAGGCGGCGTTGATTGCCACCGCCATCAGTCGCAACACACACAACGCCAACATAGTGCCAAGCATGAGAGCACGAGGCGCTGGGCAAGGCTGGCTGGCTGGCTCAAGCAAGTATCCCTTAGCTATGAAACACAGATTTAACGCCTGTTTCTCTCACTCGCCTCACTCAGCTCTCGCTCAGCTGTGTGGGCTGTGGCTCGTCCTTTCGTTGTTGATTATTGGACTTGATTATTGGACTAGTCCACTATGTGTCGCACGCGAGTTGTTTTCCTGCAACGTGGTCGCCTTACGCGTGTCTCTCTGTGTGTGTGCGTTTATGCTCGGGGCTTCTCAGACGCTATTCCTCGCTCAATTATGGCACCCTTTCAGTATGAGAAGCAGAGCATCTTTTATCGGATGCGTTTTTTCACTTTATGTGGTTGTTGTTTCGCCTTCGCAGTTCTCATGTCAATTTGACACGAAATGAGTTCAGCTGTTTGAAATAACCACAAAGTTTTATCTTCTCCACAGAGTCACAGTGTCCAACTTAGTCTTGAAAGGCGCATTCAGAGCGCTTCTATGTTTCTTCCGTTCTCAAGTCCTTTCATGGCCCTGATTTTGTGCATAAAAACCTTGAAGCTACATACTATATTAAGAAGACTAATTGTGTTCCACAATCCACCACTCCTTTTTTTAGAGCAATGGCACATTTTGAATATCGTTTTAAACCTACAGATTGCTCTGCCCTCATATCGGACCTAGTCTCAGAGTCAGATCGCTTTCCTTTTTGTCGTCCTCGGTTATTCTCATGGCCCTTTTTTGCGTTGAAACACCAAAACTACCCTATCGAGCTGAACGTGTCTGAATTCACTTCAAAATTTTCACAACACTGAAACTCTAAATATTGCTTCGAACATGGAACTTACTATTCTGATTGGTTTCCACCAACTTTGTCTGTGATTTTTGTGCTATTCTGGTTACCTTAAATAATTCTGAATCGTGAAGACTTCAAATCCTGCTCCTATTCAGTTTTATTTAGTCCAAAAAACGAAGGGTAAGCAGAGATGTTAGAAACAACGAAACCACTGAATGTCTACTGTAATAGCGAAAGTGGCTACGATTCCTCGCATGCAAGTGTTGAATCATCCAGAAGAAATTCGATCGGATTCAAAGAATATGTGAAAAATCGGCGTTACAGTATGATGAGTAAAGTAGGCGCCAATCAGCTTCATTTTGCACGTTATCATTCACATTCCTTGATAGTGTTCATCATTTCAGCCGAATCGGGTAACCATACCAATACCGTCAACATGCGAGGCTTCGAGGAGAACAAGTAGTTCGGATTCAAACGTCGAATCATCTGTGCCTGACGATATAGACGATATAGACCTCTCACCAAGACCTCTTTATCAGCGAAGGATGAGCGTACCAGAAAAAGTGTTTCATAGTGCTGTAAGTGTTGCAGCCATTTTTATGCGGATAAATTTTCATTTTTTCAGGACTATGCGATCCTGCGACCGTCAGCCGAAGCAGATGTGAAGTTTGAAATAGTCGCTGCTTTCGGTCAGTTCGGTTCTTTCAGAGCCACACTCCTCCCTTTCTAGCATTGTAGCTTATCACTAACCGTTTACGAAGCATCATACACATATAAACAATGTTTGCCGCTCTTCTATATATAGTCCACACTGTTGATATCATTTGGGGATCTATATTGCCAAAAATGTAAATTAACGTTTTCGCACATGAAGAACCTTTTTTTCAGATCGTTATACTGATCCCTATCGTCATTATATGCAGTCTCTCACTTGTTACGATCTCCAACCCACTCATGGTGCTGTGGTTGTGATTGATGGGGATTTGAAGGTGTAGTCAGTCTCTCATATTTTGCAAAATAAAAAAAAACGAGGCACGAGATCTTCAGTCATAATGCCGGCCATTTTTCCTTCTTTTTCATAGCCTGTCATAAATCCTGAAATAAGATGAATGCAGCGCAATATCCCTTCACTTTGTCATCCTTCACATGCCTGAATTGCAGATTCATAAAGCTCTGACGGCTTTGAGCCAGTGCGGTCATCAAGTGGCCATCGTATCCAACTTGGATGTCAAAGGTTCTCTTTTGGTCTTATACTCTAACGATGAATAGTACAAGCAGCAATCTCAGGAGGCTTCGGAATCCTTACGGTGACGGATTGCCTCAAGGCCATTGTTCTAGCTTCGGAGGGAGTGCAAAAAGTTGCGGAACAAACGGTTGCTCAGTTTCTAAAATCTAGCAATCGGAAACAGCTGGTGACGACCGATGTAAATACGAGGTAACGTGCCAGTCACATTCGAAAGATGTTTTTCTGCATCAACTTCTGTCAATAATGTCAGCTGTACTGAGTTATTCTTAGTGTTTCGAGTCTAAAGGTGAAATTGAAGGGTAACAGTAATTTGTAAGCTATACGAAATTTCACATCAGTGTAGGTTACCCAACACAAAATCTTGGCGAATTTTTACAGGTAAGCTCCATAAGGTCCTCAGGTCTTCATTGCAATGATCGAACAAATATTTTTGGCGAAGCTTTTTAACAATAAATAAGGCACCTTAACGTTCCTCAATTTTCTTCTGTTCGAAAATTGGAATTCTCAAAAATAAAGTAAGTTCTATGGTTTCACTGACATTTGCAGGCCTGGATGACTGAAAATTTCAGTGTTGGTTGTTCATAGCGTTTAAATCGAGGATGTAGAGAGTGAAACAGGATGATTGATTTCAACGTTTAATGATGTTTTTCTCTACGTCATGTGAATTAATGCCTCCTACATAAAATTCTCTAGATGTCTCACATATCCTTACTCCTTGCAGACTTTTTTTATATTCGTTCATAACTCATGTTAAGAATGCAGCTGTTGTTAGAAATGCAATGGTAATGGTTTCAGAGAATTTTGGAAACGCTCATTAGGATTCATGAGAATAATATGATTTAAAAATGATTCCTCTTGCCATTTTCAAGAATTATATTATTCCAGTAACGTATATTACGTGACTCGCCAGACTTCACATTTTTCCGTCCCATCGCAGTCTAGACAGCTACGCAGTAATAAGTAGAGAGCAACGAGGAAGTATGTATGGACATATACATGTGTGGTGGAGAAACCTTTTGCAGTGGGGGGGGGGGGGGGAGAGAGAGATCGGGATATCCTCAAACTTTATGGTTTGATTTTTGATCATTCCAGCACGGTTTTGGCGAAGCTATCAGTTAGCGACCGACGCTTACTAGCAATCCGTGTCCGATAATAATTCGATTTGGGAATGGAAAAACTTCGTTCTAACTTTCCGTAGACATGACTGATAAGCATTTATTCTTAGAAGTAGTAAATATAACGATTTTTTTTGAAATGCGTATTTACTCGCTTTCAAAGAGAATTGCTGCCCCTTCGATGAAACATTCATTTGTTTCCCATTTGTCATATTCGATGGTTTGAAATAGTTCTACGAACTTCATTGGCTGTATTAGTCGCGTACAAATATATTCTTATCCATTGATGGCATTTTTTTTCAGAATCGAAAATGTTATCTGGAATTTGGCAGTGAATTGAACCATTGAATTCAATTTGAAACCCTATGCTCTTAGCACATATGTTCACGCACTGCAAAACCCTGAAAGTAGAACCGTAGATATGGTACCCTTTTGAGTGCTCCAAATTAAGAAATATGCATGGCACCGAAATTCTTTCTTATTTTTTCTTGTTTCTTGATTTTTATTTTTGCAAAAAAAACCTAGGTACACTTACTTCATCTGCCCATAATATGCTGGAATAGTGCCATTCGTAGCAGTTTTTTTTTTGAGTGGGGAGGCGATTTTTAGAATTATGGAATATATTTGGATTTAGACTTTAGATTTTCTCAGATCGGTCATACTGTTTATACGATCTATTTCTTTGTGTAGATTATACTTCCTCTGCAGTTTTGAAAATGAATAGTCAGAAGAAGAACCACTTTCACATTCTTAGGGCCTGTTTTCACACTCTTAACCCCTGCTTTCACATTTCTTCTCCCAAAATTGCGTTTTCGCATTAGCGTAGAGAAAATCGATTAGTGCCAATTAAATCTGCAATGTGCACACGTTTTTGCTGTTGAGATTTTTGTAATTTTTTTTGAAGTTTCTGGTGAATAACCAAATCATATACTCATTGCTCCTTTACATAATTTTGTTTTAGCGTTTGGGATGCAGCGAAACTGATATGTTTGAACCGAATCCATCGAATTCCTGTGGTGCATTTTGACGACTCGAACCCCGCCGATATCAAGAAACAACAAGGCGGCCTGCTCTACGTGCTTAGCCTAAGGACCGTCTTCACCGAAACTATAGTGAAACTGGTGAGGTAACGTACATTCATGTAACCAGACCAAAGACGGTGATATTGTTCTTGAAAGGGATCTTTGAATTATCTTCACCATCGAACTCCCTATGGAGATAACTCAATTTCGATAATGCAAAATTGGAAAAAATTTTGAAGTCAAAAACCGGAACTTACTTTTTTCTGCTACATCTTACGCATGCTACATTTTTATGCACAGCTACTGCTGTACAGGAAGTATCAAATATTCAGGATATCCGATACATTTTGCTTGAAACGCATGAGGCTCTTCGATTATGTTGAAAATTTCGAATGTGCAAAGCATGTCTGAAGACTGTCACCATTTTTCGAAAATAGAGTTTACTGTTTGCTAGATAATCGGGCAATATCATATGAAATTCTGAAGATTTGATATTCGATTTTAGGCTGATCCCAAACCATCTTTGTGTTCTCTGATCAAGAAGAAAACTATATCCGAGCATAAGCTTGGCACGTGGAAGCGATTGCACACTGTGAGTACTTGTTATTCCGTTTTTTGGGGAAACAGGAGTTCCTGTGCGGCATTCTCGAAATTTGCTTTCGAGTAACTGGCTATTCTCTACTCACGTGAGAACCTTGGCATAGCGCTCCATATCAATCTCAATACTCATGAATCTGCAAGCGATCTTTGTTCGCCAAACTCGTGCATGCGTTTGTTGTTCGATACATTGTGTAGTCAGGCCATGAATCGCGAAATGAGCAAATTGGCGACTCATCGCACAATATAAAAGCAACTAGCTAGTGAAAATAACTCTCTATGACTCAATCTCCATTGTTGTGGAGCAAAAAGGCTGTGTTCAAAACATCACAAGTTGTAGTAAGTGTGAGGCAATTTCGTATCGCTAAAGTTATAAATTAATGTAAATTGTTTGAATAGGCCAAGATGCAGGAACGGGTATCGGTGTAACACTAAGCAGGAAATGGTCAGAACTTAACTCAGCCATACCAAACATGCTATATATCATCGGACTCGCCTTAAAATGCTGAGCACAAATATATGTTTTTTTTACTGCCAAGCGACTATATGGGAGAAGTTCTGAGCGTTTAAATGTGTGATACATGATACACGGCTTGTTTGGACTAGCTGGGTTAAGTTCTGACCATTTCCTCGTAAGTTGATTTGATAATATATTGATCTATATCTTATCGCGTCAAGAGGTCTTATTCTCAGAAAAACTACACTTCGCTTGTTCGCTAAAACGTGTTTAGTACTTCTCCTCTGCTGTAATTGAGTTTTTTCTGAATTTGTATACACTTCTTTACACGTGGTAAGCTGTACGCACCGTACATCATCTCGTTTCATCAATTTCTTTTTTTTTTGCGTTCAGTTGGGTTCAGTCGATACAATCTCAGTGTTACTCCGCAAAAAAAGGTATTGAGCAGTACAAGTCTACAGAATTTCTAACAACATAAAGGGTTTGAAAGCGATGTAGATGAGAAGTGCAAAGAGGCGCCTTCGACTGATTTAACCTAGAGATACCCCATCTTCTAAAGGCTCTTTCATTAAGCAAATCAGATGAATTGTGCATCAATCAAAAGTACGCTAAGAAGTGGCTCAAAAGCAGTCAGAACATACTTCACCCAACTTTCTTGTCTCTCATGTAGCGAAATTTATATCCTTTTGATTCCGACTCGTCTTGGGTTCCTTCCTACTGTCCGTACCATATCTTGATGACCAGCAGATCAAAATGAGCTTTACCGCTCATCATTCATGACTATGGGAAATGTGTACAGACACACAGATTTTCTGCTTTATATAAATAGAGATGATCACAATAATCCGTAAAAATTCAAGTCACTGTTGTGAAAAAAGTGCATGGGAGTGCCTATTGCTCCTCAACTCTAGAAAAATCTCTGCCTGCATACGAAATTTTTCGCATTATTATTATTATAGAAACATGTATTAGAGTGATCGCCTTTGTACACTATACTGTCATGATGTGTGTAGAAAATATTTTCTTATACTGAAAGCGCGTTGAATGCTCACTTAGAAATTTCGTATTACTTCTAAATTTTATGAAACAAGTTAGATTCCACGTGCGCGTGCACGCATTTGCACCTGCTTTCACTTCTGAAACGAACAATAAGAAAGGCTGATGTTATCGCTCGACTTCTGTGACAAGGTCGAGGTTAAAAGATCCATTGGAAATAAAGGGGGGGGGATTGAGTTGCATGTGATTTTAAGCTGCTCGCTTGGAGATCGAACGTGAAATGTAAACAACGAAAAGCGCTCATGCGAAGCACACTTGGTGTTCCGCTCAAAGATTGGCTAATCGGAACTTTGATTCGCTGATTATCTCCCTTCCCTTCCTACAAACTCCCAAGAGGGGAGGCGGTAGATCAATTTTGGAGGCTTTGAGATTTTAGGGCTATGGCTGCTTCTGTATCAGAAGACTTTAAATTGTTTTTCGTCGAAGTTTTCTCAATCCCTGCTAGCAGGTTTATTTGGTAACCCTTTGCAATTGTTTTAACATCGAAAATCTGTTTGCATGGCCGAATGGTCGACCAAGCTGTAATACAAGTCTTCCTGCGTTGATCACATGGGTGCTCTGGCCACTGCCCCCTGTGTGTTGTTATTGTGTTTGGCCCCTTTTCAACAGCACAAGGATCGATACTGCGAGGGGGAAAACTAGATAGGAATCGCTGTGACACGACCATCTGACCCAACATTTTGCAAAAATATCAGTATTTCTATTCGTAACGGGTTGTAAAGAGCAATTGAATTGATCGCCGCAAATACTGGCTCTTTGAGATGCATCAAGTGTTAGAAGAGCATTCAATCAGATCAGCCAAGTTTAGCAGCCGGACTTTTTGGAGGCTCTAAATGAGGATCGGAAAAATATGAAATTGTAAAAAAAATACATCATCCTCAGCTGTTGGTATCCACTCGTGACATCTACGAAGGGATCGGGAAGACGCAAAATGGCACTCGCGCTTGTCCCCCCCCCCCCTTCGTACTTCCCTTCCCGACCTCGAAAGTGGGCACGAAATTTGATTGTAGATTGTGCATATGGCGTGTTCACTTGCAAATAATTAGAACATTGAGATCAGTTCCTCAAATTACACCACTTCAGGCTTATAAGCCCTCAAAAAATCTGCAGAGCATTCCTAAGATCTTCTGGAGGATCACGTCTACCCCCTTTCTCAAAATTGTTGCTTCCCTCAATGTCTTGTCATGATATTGAATATAGTTATGGTGTAGCAGGATTTTTTTTTTTTCGGGAAATGCATCATAAGACGAATTCGGAGGTGGAAAGTGGCTCATGCAAAAGTTTTCTGTCGTGAAATCGGCTGGCATAATAATTTATTGCAGCATTTCTGAGATCCCGTTGCAGCGGAAACTTTGAAGCTGGATAACACAACCTTCGAATGAGCAAACTTTGTCGGTATTTTGCGCTCAAAATTCGAAATTATGTTAGTTATGCTTTCCAGAAAATTTTCACAGCATTCCTCAGCTTCCTTTACAGCTGAGGAGCATACAGCTGGATAGCACAAGTTTTGAGTCTTCGAAGGAGCAAGTTTTATCGCTTCTACGCCCGAAAATCGTTGTTCAAATTATGCTTCAATAGCGGTCATGAAAACTTTTCTTAGTGTAGGAAGAGAGAGAGAGGATGACAGATTTCTTCTTTGCTATGGAAAGGAGTGACTTTAGCAAGCTTCGCAAAGAATCGTGACATTCCCAATACTTCCCATTCCCAATTTTGCAACTGTTGAATTTTGCATGAGACGCCTTCGAAACAAATTTTCTAAAAAGCTAAGATCTCATAGAATTTTAGAGGTTATGAAAGTTCTTTATATGATCACAGATATCTGCGCAATTTCGTACTGCAAAGGCGCCACGCTTGAACAATAATAAGAAAATACAGTGTCCCAAAAAGATGTGCACACTGTCTGATCGTTAATAACTCTCTTGCTTTCATGTCTTTTGCCGAGCTTGAGGTACCATTCTGTAGAGCGAGGGTAAACTTAGATTTACAGTATGGAGCGAATCACCAACCACTCTTCATTACTGTAGGATCACGGTATGAACTTTTAGCATACAGCGTCACTGTGGAATAAGCCTTTTGATGAAATAATTTTGAAAAATCCAAAAATTTATGTAACAAGGTTTTCAGGCGTGCTGATTTCACTACATAACTTTCCACCAGTTCGAGCTTTCTTGATGGCGTATTCACTTTCTGACGAACATTGGAAAATTAGTTGTTGCCCTAAATCTGAAATAACTCATGAAAGAAATAGTATACTGAAGTGCAACTTTCATATTTAGAATCAGCGACTTCGATTAACCCAGATCAAGAGTTCCTGGCTTGTTTGGCTTTATTTCTGAGGCAAAATACCGCTTCCAATGGCCTAAAATCCTCCTCGAAATTCCTACGTAATCTTACAGTAATGAAGGGCTGCTGATAAATCGCTCCATACTGTAAATCTAAGTTGAATCTCGCTCTAAAGAATGGTACCTCATATTCGGTAAAAGACATGAATACAAGAGAGTTATTAACAATTAAACAGTGTGCACATCTTTTTGGGACACCCTGTATATGCGAAATCCTTCTCAGGGACGTTTTTGTCGATAACCCATTTTGAATTGACGCTGGTGCTAAAAATACGCAATGTCTCATAACGCTGCGAAGAGAAAAACATGGTGATGTCACTTGTTTAACTCGCAGATCTCTTTAGCTTTGTTTTGCCTATATAGGGGGACGATCTAAGATTTTGTCATGAGCGTGCTAGACTTCATGTAGCTTCTCTATATCATTTAACTGGCTTAACTCAGATTCTGTTCCATAGGTTCCTAGTTTGAGCTATTCGTTCTTTTTCCACTTTGAACACACGAAACTCATGAATTTCTTGGCGGTTGGCGTCGACTTTGTTTCTTATCTGTGTGAAACATTCGATTTTCTAATAACCAGTATCAAAAAACTATTCATCTTCAACTTCTCTGCTTTGATCTGTTTTGGTTCATGAGGATTTCTTGGAAATGGCTAGAAACTTTTATGTCAATGGGTGTTATTTGATGTGTGTGATTTGTTTTTGCTTCTGCTCGGCAAGCTTGAATTCGTATTGCCCACACTTCGAAGATTACTTACGTTGTGATTTAGCTATGATTACCATCATTAGCTGGCGCATCTGCTGTTGTAAGACCTAAAGTTCCTAATCTCAAATTTTTGCGATGGCTTCTTTTTTACTACTCGCTGGGCTAGAATCCTTATTGTCGTCTGAAAGTTTTTTTCCAGGTACCGCAAACAGCAACTTGCGATGAAGCGATTTCATTGTTTCTCAATAAGTTAGTTCCAGTTATTTATTGCGTAGTTGTGTAGTACATATCTCTCATTCCAGAAAAATCTCTAGCGTTCCCGTTGTGGACTCAAATGGACGTGTTCTTGGTGTTATAGGAAAAAGTGACATTATGTCAGAATTAGTGCGACACCCGAGCAATTACCTCGAAATTTTGGACATTCCTATTATGGTGAGTTGAATTTGGTTTGTTACAATCATCTGGAAGTATTTCAAAGTTCTCACACTAGCATCATAGCGAACGCATCAGCGCGTACCACTTGTATCCGCTCGAAAAACAGAAAAAAAACAGAAACTTCTTTCTGCTATTCTCATTTGCTTTCTGTTTGTGACATTCTCTATAATCTGCATGGTTGTCAGTAGTTTTTCATCCCCTTTTTCCAATAGTTCTGTGGATTTGAATGCGCATCGCGTTTTGCCTTGCATATTCACGGTTGACATGTGCCTGCAGCAAAAAAGCAATATCACTTCAAGAGAAGGATTGATCTTGAATCTTTTCACACAGTTTCTTCCAATAACAAATAGCGTTATACTAATCCTACGTGGAAACCACCTCTATATTCTAGAACACACCTTGCGTTCTTTCGCGTGCGGTGATTCAGTCACAAGAAAAAGGTTCACCTCTTCGTAGTACCTCTTAGAACGGAAAGCTCGCTTGGTCTAAGTGGTGATTCGGAAGCTTTGAACGCTGATCTCATGATCAGATATGCCTTCTATATCAGAAGTCTTTTAAAACAAGTTATGGGGTTTTTCTTATGTCAATTTTCGTGTGTTTTGAGTCGCAGAATCACGGTAGTTTTCACACCAAAATATGCACGCTAAAGCAAACCACCTAATAAGCGTTGTAGGTTTAATCTGATATTATCTGGACGTTTCGAGTGTTGTCCAACCACGTTGTTATCCGCAGTTCATCATTTTCCTTCCAGACCCACTGCCATCATAAATACAAAAAGCTCATATTCCTATAGTTATACGCTTCGCAGATATAGGTGTAATTGAGATCCGCGTTTTAAGTTCTAAATTACCTTCTATATCACCTTCCGAATCGCCACTTCGACCACACGGCCTTCCGTTAGAGTCAACAGAAAATATTCTTTAAGTTGAAGTTTGTACGAGGGTGAAGACTCACTTTAGTTTTAGGTACTGAGTATTATGAAACCAAGACTTTACAAAAAAAAATAGTTACATTACCTTGACGGAATGAGAGAAAAATCGGCAATAAGCGATCAGTGGGAAAAGATCACCGATGATCACCATTTAAAAATTCTGCGCCTCGCTGTCGCGTGGGAGGGGGGAGCACCCCCGCGACAGCGAGGCGCAGAATTTTCAAATGTGGTCTATTTGAATTGAATATGCATGAGATCTGTTCCTTTTGATCAAAATGCTTTCAGAAATCTCATACGTTACATGAGGTTTATGAGAGGTATCGTAGTGTTAGTTGGGTGCTTATGAAGTTAATTGTTCTAAAAAAGAAAATCTTTCTGACCTTTGTGCATGCTCGTCCCTTTCAAACCGAAGTTTTCTCTGGACCCCCCTTGATGTGTAAATGTAAAGACTGAAGTGTAAGCCGCTATTCACATGAGGGGTTCCATCAATTTGTCTTTCGTAAATAAACCTAATGCTAGTAGCGTTTTTGTGTATCTGTTGCAACAGAATATCTTGCTTGATTCCAGGACATAGTCGCCTCATTGAGCCCTCCTGTGTACGGTACCACAACGATGACTGTATACGACTGTATCGCGATGATGGTCAACACCGATCGACAATCCATCGTAAGCGTTCCTTTTTCTTTCCTTCGCTTACATCCATGTGCATTATACATAATTAAGGTCATTCTCGATGTGGAACGACGCCCACAAGCTTTGATATCTTACTCGGACATCATGGATTTCATTCAGAATTGTTCAGATTCGCACCACAAATTGAGCTTGGCCTAGACGTGGTCATGAAAACTCCTTGTCGGAAAATATATTCATCTTTGTCTGTCCTAAAGAGAAAATCGCAGGCTATATGTCCTAGTTTTGAACATACCCCCTCAGTGAAACTTCTCAGGGATGCCACAGCGCACATTCAAATCAGCGATGACCAAATTTGGCATCACTTCAGATTTTCCGGTGATTCGCTAATAATATTGTACTCCTCAGCTGTTAAGCAATTCATTCTTGCCTCGCTCTCCGTAAGTACCTCTAGAAGGTTTTTTCATTCGTAATCTACGCTCTTGTTTACTGTACTTACATTGTCTGTGTACTATAATAATGCGCTTTGGATGCTAGTGCTTAGATTGAGTAGTTCCCAGAGCATACAGAGGTCTAAGTAGAGGATATCACTTATTATTACAGTGTAGCACGTTAGTTTTCGTGTACTGATGTTTTGTATATTAACTATTGATGTTCTTTACGGTAGCGTAACGTTAGAGCTGTTGATGTCGCTATTCTGTTGAATCAGTTCATCCAAAGGCGGTAGAATGCGTTGTAGTCTTGAATTTTGTTGTTAATAATATATTGTTACCTCGCCTCTGCTAGCTTTTGCTTCGGATTTACATTCGTTAGAGGAAAGTTTAATATTGATAGTCGTGATTACTTGTAAAAACTCTGTGATCGTAGTGCCACTGTTCCTCTATCATGACCTAGTTCGTCAACAATGCTGGGTATTTGCAACGGCTAAATAATGCAGTTTGTTGATATATTTATAGTAAACTGCAGGTGCAGGTCTAATAAATGTGTATCCTAAACCAGTGTGCAGATCATCATCATTACATGTAGCAAATTCCGAATATACGATTAAAGGTAAAAAATACTGCCTATGTATTCGCAACATGCCATCCACGTATGGCACCTACACTCGTAAAGCTTTGTGTGGCAGCTCGGTGGGCCTTCAACACCTAGATTTTACCCTAGACCTAGTGCTCTCGCCCGTTTAATACATACGACATCACCTAGAAAAAAGAAACAGACCAGTAACAACAGAAAGAAAGTCCAAATACGAGAGTACCGATGGTGGGCTCTACTATAAGTCGACTATAACTTCTAAACATAATGCTTTCGATTTCAACTATACAGATCCGCAGCATTTAGCCGCCAAGGATGACACGGCGGTAATCTGAAATTGCAAAAAAGTCCGCTCATTTGAATTTTCAGCTTTAGATGACATTTTTTCAGTAGGTGTAAACATGCCAAACACATAAAGTGCGGTTCATAATTATACGAACACCCTCAATTTTGAAAGTTTCTGGAACACAGCCGAAAACGGTATATGTTTAATGATTAAGAATGGAAATCGATGTTAATCTTAGGATGTTTTTGCGCCTAATGCGAATTTTGAGCGGTTCATAATTACACGAACACCTCAAACAAAGGTTCATTTTTCATTCAAGATTGCAATCATTTGAGTCCAAATTTTTTGTAGAGTTACAGTAACAAAGTCTGAAACATTTGCTACACACTGGACCCAGAGCAGTTCAAAAAGAGAAGCATTGCTCTTTCCAGATGGCTCTAAATGCCTCTGAAGTCATTGCGGTCCAAAAACATTCGTTTTTCTGTGGTTTACGCACTCGAATTAGCTTCTATTATGGCTATGAGATAAAATAAGCTCTTTCGATAGATATTTTGTTTGACGCTTGGAAAATCTATGCGTTTTCGTGCCGTTTTTCAACCAAGTTCCAACCTTATCCTAGAGTTAGCGCGATTTCGAGCCTCAAAACTCAGCTTTTCTCGCGCGCAAACATTTGAAATGAAGCAGCTGCATTGTTTGCATGATGATGTATCCGTGCCAAAGTTTTTGGTTTTTTGTAGAACTGACCTCGAGGCTATGGAGCTGCAAACCAAATAAAGGTGTGATTGCAGTAGTAAAAGCAGTGCTTTGGTGAACTGACGGCTTGGCCGAAACAAGCGCTCAACGCTGCTGATTTTTTTAGCCAAATAGGCCTAAGGCATACCTCTCGCGATTTCGCGAAATCGTCACATTCTCGCGACTTGGCGATTTGCCAGATGTCTAGAGATTTTGCATGCGAGACTTTCAAATGCATGGGTGCGTAGATTCCGTGGATTGTAACAAACGCAGCAAATCTGGCCCAAGCAAAGAGCGCTCACGACCAGCTATGGAGAGTCGCAGTGCCAAATCGCGAGGCGTCTAAATCGCGTGAGGTATGCCTTAGGCCATACACAGTCTTGTGAACTTATACCTATGTGCTTACTTTATTGTAGGGCTTCAGAAGCTGATTTTTGAGGCTCGAAATCGTGCTAATTCTAGGGTAAGGTTGGAACTTGGTTGAAAAACGGCACGAAAACGCATAGATTTTCCAAGTGTCAGACAAAATATCTATCGAAGGAGCTTATTTTATCTCATAGCCATGGTAGAAGCTAATTCGAGTGCGTAAACCACAGAAAAACGAATGTTTTCGAACCGCAATGACTCCAGAAGCATTTAGGGCCATCTGGAAAGAGCAATGCTTCTCTTTTTGAACTGCTCTGGGTCCAGTGTGTAGCAAATGTTTCAGACTTTGTTACTGTAACTCTACAAAAAATTTGGACTCAAATGATTGCAATCTTGAATGAAAAATGAACCTTTGTTTGAGGTGTTCGTGTAATTATGAACCGCTCAAAATTCGCATTAGGCGCAAAAACACTCCTAAGATTGACATCAATTTCCATTCTTATGGATCATATACCGTTTTCGGCTGTGTTCTATCCCGTGGTATCAACGGCTTTTTGAGTTTCTTCAGTCCGAAAACTTACAAAATTTTGGGTGTTCGTATAATTATGAACCGCACTTTAGAAAGGGTAAGTTCGCTGGAAAATTTATTAGGTCGATCCGAAAGTTCGTGCCGTTTTTCGGACCTATACTCAAATAACAGTGTTCGTTCCAGGACCGCTTCCGCTTTCTAGCAGTGATGTATTCGATCCGAAGTCTCTGTTGGCCACTCGAATATCGTCAGAAGTTCCAGCCCATAATTTTTACCTACCCTCATTTTTGCCATTTTTGGAAAGTTATATTTGTAACTTTTGGAAAAGCTTTGATCACTATCGGATAGAGTAGAAAAATGCAAGACAAGGATATATATTTTGGGCTTCTTTGACTGGCTTGCAAGTAACTTTGGAAAATTTTTTTTCAAAAGTCTTCATTTCTGCGAAGTTGTAAGATGCAAATGATTGCAGATACGCTTCGAATACCAGAAAACCTTCGGAATTTGAAACCTCCAAAAGTCGATTATGTTTGAACGCACCTGAATTACGATAATTTCAGCTTCGAAACCTTTACAAATCTGGGAGAAAAAACGCCTATCAGAAAGAGAAAAACAGTCTGCTTCGAAGGACACCTCAGCTGCTCGCTGTTTGATGTTCTATGAGGTCTGAAATGACCAAATATGGAAAGTGGTATCAAAAAAATCACTTCAAAAATTTTGAAAATTCAGCTATAAGTGCCAAAAAATGCACAGTCTTGCATTTTCTTAACTCTATCCAACAGTGATAAAAGCTCTTTCAAAAGATAGATTTGAAAAAAATAGAAAAAATAGAAAAAATAAAAGTGGAAAAATAGCTAAAATAAGGGTAGGTAAAAATCATAGGGTTGGACATCTTGACGATTGCGAAAGAACAAGAGATCGGAACGGAAAAATCGGTACTTTTCCGTTATCCGGACCCATTTTTTCAAAAGACTCTTGTCGGGACGCAGCTAGCTACAACAGCTGCTCGAGAAGGAGGTTGGCCGAAGACAGCCAACCTCTGGCAGTGACCTCCGGCCGCCAGCACTTGCCGGTTCCCCTTTCCCTTCCCCCTTTTGTATATAACTATTTATAATAAACATTATAGTAAGACTCATGTAAACCCGCTACACATCAGGTAAGGGAATAGCTAACCCTTGGACCTGACATGGAAGTCCCGGGAAGATTTTTTTCTTTTTTGAGTTATAGTCAAAATTTTTGTTTCTAAAAAAAAACAAAAAGAATTTTTTACCCCTCGACATCCATATCGACAACAACTTCCATCCAAGTCAAGCGAACGATTGTGTGAGTGTTTTTTTATTTATCTAATTATAATGACGACTAATTGTGTGCTGTGATTATAAAAATTTTCCTTCCTTTTTCTTGAAGGAAGCTAATATTTCAGAAAAAAAGGTACCGAAAGAAAAACTGCATTCACAAATGTGGTGATGGTCTTTGATCGAGTCAATCTCAAAGTTACCATCACCGTATATACCAATGATCTTTGATTGAATTATTTCGTAGACACATCCTACCGTAGTCCAGCGAGCAGTCCCATTTGTCCGCAATTTTTTTGAGATAATGATGCATCATTTAGTTATATATATATTACCATGAAGCGCAAAATCAACATTTAGCAATTATATGTAAGTGACTGAAAAAAATGTAAATTTTTTTTATAAACAGTTCCGCATAGTCATAACTGAGCCAAATCTGTGTAACTTCAGAATTCCTATGCAAAACTGAATTCTACAGGTGAAATTCATTCTTCTGCGGTTTTTTTTCGTATATTTGAACTTTTGCTCTAATTCACGTTTTTCTTTAGGATATTTTCACGTATTTCCGTAATTTTTAGAGTATTGCGAATTTATTGCATCGGCTTTTTAGAAAACAAACGCATTTTCTTTTTAATTTTAGACATGAACTTGCTCGTTCATAGCTACAGTACAAAATCTGCAGTATAACTCATCAGGAAAGATAGTATCTGCCGACATATCGCATACCCGGCTATTACAAATGGCCTAGAGCTCCAAATCCTTTATGCTAATCCGTTCCGGCAACTGTCTGCGCGCGTTCAAAATAGCAGTAAATCTGGTGACAATTGTAGAAGCTAGCAACTGCTGACCTTAGGGCCTGACAAATATCCCTATGCGCCTGTTGAATATTCGGATGAACTTTACACACAATTGATTTATGGCTCATCTAGCTGTCTTCCGATGCCGAGAAGTTGTGCATCAACAGCGACAGCCGTGATCAGCATCTTATTCATCGGCAAGCTCAATCAGATTGATATTTTACATCGCGATAAGGTTTAGTCAGCAAAATCAAGGTTTTGGCTGAAAAAAAATTTTCTTTTGGAAACAGACAAAACATTTTTCTCATTGTAATGAAGACATCTTTTTCTTCCGACAACTCGTATGCACTTCTAAAAAAAATATATCATTCTGAATCAAAACTTTGAGTTCCATTGGTGCTATTATTCTTTCCAGATTTTGGAAAAACAGTTTTCACTTAAGCAAAGATAATCTAAAATAAAATCTCAAGCATAATTTCAAAAATCAATATCATTTTTTCAGCCAAAATTTTGGTTTTCCTACTTTTGTCACTGATAGGTCTAATACAGATCTATAGTGAACTCTGTAAACTAATCATTAATAAAAACTTGCATCTGTTGTGACAGAACATGATGTTAAGTAAATGAGATTGAAAAAAAACCTAAAGCTGCTCAAATTGTTGAGAGCACGACTTCAAACAATTTCGATCCGAAAGGAAGTCGCTTATTTGCTCAAAAAAAAAAGCGCTTTTGCGGACATGGATTTTGCTCCGTTAGCGTTGGAATCAACCTTCAACAAAGGTGCGATTGCAATGGAAAAAGGATGTTGAGATGCTCATACTTCTGAAACATCGCTGTTAGAGCATGTTCCATGACCTCTTATTATTTGCATGATACAATTAAATG